GGTTGGCTCCTGGCGTTTTGGTGCTGTCCTTGTCGCCCGTGAAGCTGGTGGCTGCTGGTTTTTAAGCAGTTGTAGATGCTGGTCTCCACTGGTGGCGACTGGGAAAGTCACGAAGTCTTTATTTCTGTTGCTCTGTTTTAAGGTGTGTGGGATGCCCCTCGGAATCAGCATCGGCACGGCCTTTGCGCTCGATGTCGGTTTTGAGTCAAAATTCTCTGAATCGCTGTTTGTGAAGTCTCAGAATCCCCCTGGTTAGGCTGAAGCATCCTGGGCTGTGTTATGTGCAGTGTTTCAGGGTGATGTGCTGGAGCAGCTCATGATTCTGGCTTTTAGGCTTTTAAAAGAGCTGAGGGACGCTCCAGTTTTTCAGGGTTTCGTTTATATTTTGCGCTTTGTAGGAGCCAGGTCGAGGCAGTGAGGAGAGGAAGCAGAGTTTATGCAGGGGCTGAAAATTTGTGTCCTGGCATGGGATGAGGAGGTGGAACAGAGAAGCCTTGGCAAGGGCAGGGGCTGAGGAGCTCCAGGAAGGCTGTGAGGGCTGTTACGACTTGGCTTTGCAGGAGGATGAGGAGGATGTGGGGCTGAGGACTGTTCCCACTGCAGGAGAGGGTGGGTGGAAGAGGGAGCCCGGGGAGATGGGAAGGGGCAGGAGCTGCGGGGTCGAGCGAGAGGTTCTGCACCCAGGGCTGCAGCTGAGTGCCCAGAGCTGGGAGTCAGCTCCCACTTAGCAGAGATGCACCTGCAAAACGGATTGTTCTTCCCCATCCCCTCCTCCTCCCCATAGTTAATTAGACCGTTTTCTGAGATTTTCACTGGCACTTCTGTAGGTGTGGGAGCTGAGGTCGTACGCATCTGCATTAGCTTTGAGTCTCGAGTCTGGAAAGCTTAGCGTAATGCTGCTTATTTTTAGCTAGAATTATTCTTAAAGCTCCACGAAAAGACAAAATTTTTTTTGTTAATTTATGAGTGAGAAATCCAGGGATGCTTCTTCACCTTCGCGTTTTAGTACAATTTTCTTCTCGAGTGGCAGCAACACTTTTTATTTTGCCCTGGGAACCGTTTTTTTTGAACGGTTCCTCACTTTTAATAAAATCGGAGTACAAAATGTGAGCCATCTTGATGGTTGGTAAGTGGTCTAGCGAGGTATATTTGTAGCTTTGTCCATTGCGTTACAATATTAGAGTATTCCTAGTGGCTTACACTCATCAGTTTTTGGCCAACGTTTTTGTTTCCAAATTCTGCAGTTCAGATGTTAAAGAGTACTGGATAGTCCCAACTTAAATTTTTTTTGAAGAGCTGCACTTGGTCATTGAAAATGGGAAGTCTAAGGTACTGGATTTATTCTGTTTCTGGTGAACTTTTGAAAGTTAAGTTAGTTTTTAAAATGGCTATTTTTGGTGTCCTCATAATCTTTGTGTGGACTTTATATTCTGTTACAGAGATTTTTAGAAGTGGCTTATGTATAACTGTTAAACGTTATCAGGAAAACCGTGTTCCTGCTTGGTGTGAAAGGGTTTTCAGCACTGTGCAGCTGTTTCCACTATTTCCTAGAAAGGTTTTCTTAGTAGGCAAAATGTTTCGTGGGGCCAACGAAATGAAAAAGCTTTGCTGCTGAAACTTTAGCTGTGTCTTGTACGCAGCGGAAGTCTCTGAAATGTAAAGCTGTCAAATCAGGAAAGGATTTAAATGCGGAGGCATTTCTCACTAGCTCTCACCAAAAGCAAGTGGCACGAATGTCAGGTATTTTTATCCACACGTATGTGCTTTTCATTGGGGCTAATCTTCATATATGTCTGTGCACCTTTGATTGCAGAGGAGGAAGTTTATAATCTTACAAACCTAGTTGTAATGCATCAAAGGAGCATCCGATTTCACATTTTAATAATTCCTGTCTTAGATAATGGTTTGGGTGTTTGCCTTGAAGCAAGGAAATAAGTAGCGGAGGGTTACTCTTTCCTATGTTTGATATCCATCCAGAAAATACATTTCTTGGTATACGACCCAAGTAGTTTGTTTAAAGGGATACTTGAAGCAGGCGAGAGCGTGGAAGGTAACAGTCTCTCAGGTAAGCTAAAAAAAAAATCCAGCCAAGTCAACGCCAACTTAACGTGGCTTTCCAGCACTTCTAATCAGGAGCTTAACGCCCGTAATCTCGGAACAGAGCCACCGCTGTGAGAGGTGGCGGCGCTTCGCGGTTGGCTTGGTAGAGAAGGAGCTTCGGGGAGTCGTGGTCTCCTTTCGATGGGCGATTGGGGGTTTTTTTTCCCCCCCTGTCAGCGGGGAGGCGCGGGCAGGGCGGGTGCTGAGCCCTCCTCTCTCCCCAGCCAACCTTCCTGGTGGAACTGTCCAGAGTGCTGGCAAACCCCGGCAACAGCCAAGTTGCCCGCGTGGCAGCCGGCTTGCAGATCAAGAACTCCCTGACCTCCAAGGACCCCGACATCAAGGCCCAGTACCAACAGAGATGGCTCGCCATCGACGCCAACGCCCGCAGAGAAGTCAAGAACTACGTAAGTTTTGTGACTTTTGGTTCTCCGCCGGTTGTTTTCTCCTTGGGGGGCCATGAGCGATGAATGTCTTGACCATCCTTTTTCCACCTGAGGAGGCTTCTGTTGGCTGGCTGCTGCCTTTCATGAGACAGGCAACGTCATCTGTGCTTGCTTGGGTGCTTTGTTGATTGTGGCATGCTTAATCTGGAGAATTATTAGGGTAAAGAGCCACACAGACATGAGGCTGCTACTTTTAAACTCGCACCTGTAAATACTTTTATAAGGAGCCTCTGAGTAGTCTGGCGCAACTGCGGGAGCTAACAGGCTTGGCTTCCCCACTGAGTGATGGCAGCTGGGTTGGCGTTTGCTTTTTCTTACACTTGAACAGCTTCCTCACCTGTTTTACAATCCACGTTAACATCCTTGAAGCATAATCGATGTCGGAACACACATGTTTACGTGAGGCCTAGCAGATTCTAGGAGTAGAACATGGTCAAAATTTGCAAGTTCCAAACAGGAAAATACATTCTTCAATTTTTCCCACAGATGGGGGAATTTCCTGAGGATTCCTGTGCTCTTTGATAGTTAAAATTCAGGACTTGCAGTGGCGGAACTGGTGGCTTAGTGGGTTTTTGCTAATGGGAACAAAGGTGTGCTTGGATACACGCAGGGTTATGTAATTGGTGTGAGTTGGCCTATACGCTTTATATAACATTTTTGTATTACTGGAGCCTGTATAGAGCAGAAAAAGGTTGGGCAAGTGACGAGGCTACAACTTAGTCTTTTATTTATGTTGATGATGGCTACAAGGGAACTAACACTGTTAACAGGAGCTGTCGGATTGTTGCCTGCTGCAGCTAAATAAACCAGTTTATTACTGTTTTCTGTCAAGTAACATTCGAAATACAGAATTTGTTGAGTGGATATATGGAAAATGAGTATGTATAACTGGACATGCAGAAATAAATGCGTGTCCCTCCATTATTTTTTTTTTAAGAAATGTTGCTGATGTATACAAAAAAAAAATAATTCTTCTCATTGATTGCAATTAAAATGAAAGACAATTATTCAGTCCTATTCAGACTGTCTTGGCATAAACAGTCCAGTATTTGGGGGGGGGGGGAATTTTTAAACCACAATTTGTTCAGCTTTTGCAATTTTGCTTTATAATACAAGCAGGGAGGAATTGTTCAGTGAGTCATTGTTGCGCGTTACGGCGCGTGGCATTGTGTACGGGATTTAAAGGATGTGGTAGAAGTGTGTGTAATCACACAGCTGTATCTCACTTCCTGAAAGGGGCAGCCGTGGCCGAATTCGTTTCAAACATTATTTGTCCGTGGTCACGGCCTCGTTTGCAGTGGGAGAAAGCAGCATGAGCAGACTGCTTTATTGGTCGGGGGGGTGTTTGGGGTGACACCGAGCGAAGGCTTCGGTGGGAAGGCAGCGCCCGTCGCTTCGGTCCCCAACATCCAACCCCATCACCTGCTCGTCTCTCCCGCAGGTTTTGCAGACGTTGGGTACAGAAACATACAGGCCCAGCTCAGCCTCTCAGTGCGTGGCCGGCATCGCCTGCGCGGAGATCCCCATGAACCAGTGGCCCGAACTCATTCCCCAGTTGGTAGCGAACGTTACGAATCAGCACAGTACAGAGCACATGAAAGAGTCGACGTTGGAGGCCATCGGATACATCTGTCAGGATATCGTGAGTGGATTCTAAGTGCCATTTCACTGGGCCTTCCAGTACCTGAAGGGTGCCTACGAGAAGGCTGGGGAGGGACTTTTTACAAGGGATTGTAATGATAGGATGAGGGATAATGGGTGGAAGTTGAGGGAGAGGAGGTTTAGACTAAATAGAAGGAAGAAATTTTTTACTGGTGAGGCACTGGAACGGGTTGCCCGAGGAGGCTGTGGATGCTCCATCCCTGGAAGTGTTCAGAGCCAGGTTGGATGGAGCCTTGAGCAACCTCATCTAGTGGGAGGTGCCCCTGCCGTAGCAGGGGGGTTGGAACTAGATGATCTTTGAGGTCCCTTCCAACCCAAACCATTCTCTGATTGATTCTCTGATTCATTCTAAGTATTATCACAAATATGCTTTAAGTACTATTTTAAATTATGAGTGTATTTTAAGTATATTTTAAGCGCTGGCCCAGCCTCTCCCCAGCTCCTCGTCTCTTCCAGCCTTTCTTTTCTCACACCTGTACCTAGCAGGCTGTAGTGCTTCCTCGTGTCTGTCTTTTAATACTTGTCTGGAGGATGTCTCTGCTGGCAGAGCGCTGGGCAGTAAACACACAAGGACGGTGTCTGGAAGGACTGACCTGCTTTCGCAGCACAAATCCAGGTCATCTTTCATAAGGTGCAGATTGAAGTCTGTCGCTGCTGAGGGGTTCTGTTCTACAACTTCAGCTGAGCGTCCAGTTGGGTCAGGTCTTCACGGATGAGAAGAGTTTGATTCCTTTCTGTGTTGGGGCAACCTGACAACTACCTTCATCTTGCATGAGGAGTCCCTTTATTCTTAATTTAGGAAATTTTTTTTGATGCGCAGGCAAGAATACTTATCTCTTAGAGGTGCCTTCTGCAAAAGGTCTCCCAGTTTTATCAGCGTAGTTTGCAGTATCACAATGTGTTGCGTTGAGTATATGATGCAAATTGCTTGCGGAAGCCCTTTGTCCTGTCTGACCTACCACTGAAAAACAAAATTACCTGCTGCTTTTTAGGTGCCACTGCATGCCTTGGAGAATGTCCCTGTGGCATATTGCTGGTTGAACCTTGATGTAGTTGAACCTCAGGGGTTGGGGGTGGGACTGGTGCTGTTTAACATCTTTGCTGGGGACATGGACAGTGGGATTGAGGCACCCTCAGCGAGTTCACTGACAGCACCGAGCTGTGTGGTGTGGGGGACATGCTGGAGGGAAGGGATGTCACCCAGAGGGACCTGGACAAGCTGGAGAGGTGGGCCCATGTGAACCTCCTGTGGTTCAAAGCCAAGGGCAAGGTCCTGCCCGTGGGTCGGGCCAATCCCCAGCACAAACCCAGGCTGGGTGAGGAGGGGATTGAGAGCAGCCCCCAGGAGAAGGATTTGGGGGGGTTGGAGGGTGAAAAACTGCCTGTGAGGAAACAACATGCACTGGCAGCTCAGAAAGCCACCTGTGTGCTGGGCTGCACCCAGAGCAGGGTGGGCACAGGGCCAGGGGGGGATTCTCCCCCTCTGCTCTGCTCTGTGAGACCCCCCTGCATTGCTGGGTCCAGCTCTGGGGGCACCAACAGCAGAAGGACACGGACCTGCTTGAGCGGGGCCAGAGGAGCCACGGAGATGCTGGGGGGGCTGGAGCCCCCCCTGTGAGGACAGGCTGGGAGAGTTGGGGGGTTCAGCTGGAGAAGGCTTTGGGGAGACCTTAGAGCGGCCCCCCAGGGCTGAAAGGGGCTGCAGGAACGGGGGGAGGGACTCGTCATCAGGGGGGTAGGGGTGGGATGAGGGGTGACGGTTTTAAACTGACAGAGGGGAGATTTAGATGAGATCTAAGGCAGAAATTCTTCCCCGTGAGGGGGGTGAGGCCCTGGCACAGGCTGCCCAGAGAAGCTGTGGCTGCCCCCTCCCCGGGAGGGTTCAAGGTCAGGTTGGACAGGGCTTTGGGCAACCTGGGCTAGTGGAAGGTGGCCCTGCCCGGGGCAGGGGGTGGGACTGGGTGATCTTTAAGGACCCTTCCCACCCAAACCATTCTATGGTTGTGTGATAGTGAGGTAGGAGGAGAAATCTCTTTGGTGCTTCCATTAGGCTGCAGGGGATTGGCTTCACTGGGGAGGTTGGTCACTTCATGAAGCATCAATGAAATAAAAGAGGAAATCTGTATCTGTACGGGGGGTGCTCCGGGGCAGGCGTTGGTTGGTACAAGTCTGTGCAAGGCTTGAGTGTGTGTTTCTTTGGGTGTTAGGAATCATTGGCCTCTGGATTTTTGGATGCCCTGGCTTGCTGGTTGGGTGTTCTGTAACCAACGTCCCTCTTAGAGTTTTGTAGCTTGCCAGTCACATTGTGACACAGTTTGTGACCGTAGTTTGGGAATCGACTGCTGGAAGTCTTGATTGCTTAAGTTACTCACCCTTTCTACTGGTCCAGACGATGTATTTTTGCCCTATGTCTAAAAAAGATTGGCAACTTTACCAATAAAATTCTCAACCACAGCTGCTGGCGTAGACCTTCGCCCAGTATCTAAAGGAACTGGAAATCAGTCAGTGTTTTTTAACTTGCTAATTGAACGAAGTCAAGTAGTCTGAAGCTTGTTGGCCTGTTATTTGAAACAGTGGGGTTTATTTGGCGTTTATGACTCGAATATCTGGAGTGTTGGTGCTCTGTTTGGTGCTCTCCTTTCTGTGCCAGAAGCCGTAAAGACATAACGGTGTATCAATTCCTTGTACTTGTGTTCTGGTCCTCCCGGTGAACAAAGGGCTTCTTGGCCTTCGTGTCTTAAAACTTGTGGATTTCAGGACCAAATCTTTACTTTGAAATACGGAGGAAGCTGTTCAAGTGGCAAATAACTCTTAACAACGCTTCTTGTAGGATCCAGAGCAGCTTCAGGACAAATCCAATGAGATCCTGACGGCCATCATCCAGGGAATGAGAAAGGAAGAGCCCAGCAACAATGTGAAGCTAGCAGCTACTAATGCACTCCTGAACTCTTTGGAATTCACCAAAGCAAACTTTGACAAAGAGGTGAGGGGACAACAATTCTTGGCCTAAAATGCAAGGGCTGAATCCACGGTCTGTGATGAGAAATCATGCACCACGCTGAGTTTTGATGCATAATTACGTTGCAACTGAGACTTGGATTCATTTCTGTAAATCCGGTATGTTCTCATTGTGATGCAGAAGTACTGTGGAAATCTGCAGAGATTTGTCAATGGAAAGGAAGCATCGTTGGGTTTTTTTTTTTCGTTTTTTTTTTTTTAGATAAATTTGAACTGACCTTAGAGTTTTTAGCCTGTTAGATGCTCTGCTTCCTAATCAAACTCTGCTCTGTAATGCTGCTGTAAGAGTACGAGCTTGGATCAGCACTTTCTTTCAAGTGGTGTGGCAGCAATCCAGATTTAACTTTGCCTCTGAAAATTGTTGGGGGAGGAAGGTCTGTAAGAGTCTTCAGAATAGGGGCCTCGGAATGGGAGTCTTTTCAGAACAGAGAAATCTATTGATTTTCCTTCCTGGATTAAGTCTGTCCTCTAGGTCTCTACCAGGGACAATGTGAGGGGAGGATGGAATTAATATTGAAGGTTTTTTAATGAGAACTTGCCCCAGTCAACTATTCAGTGGATGTTGATGGGGATCAACTAGAGACCATCAGGATTTGAGGTGGGAAGTGCATGATCCTTCTGGGCTGTATTTCTGTTGGGCTGCAGTGCTGTAAACAGCCTGGGCATAAGTCTGTGCCTTCCTACTAAAATGCAAGTATCCAGGAACTGCCCCTCAAGAAATTTGTCCCAGCCGAGCTCTGAGGTTTCTTGAAGCAATCGCTGAAATCCTTCAGGAAATAGCAGGATTTTTTTTTATTCCCTACCCCAAAAACGTAGTGTCTTTGAGTTCTGCTGAATCCTTCTGTTTTGGACAGCCTCTTAAGTGCTTTTTAAAATGGAAGCTTGGGATTCCCATTTTGGGGAAGAAATGGTTTAAAATACTGCTGTGAATGGCAGCTTGTACTGTCGCTGGACCTTTAGAAGCGCTGTATGGGCGATAGGACTGGTCTAGACTTAAAAATCCATCCTAGAAAGGTTTGCAAAGACTTTAATGCTTTTGTAAGGCAGTTCTAATGATCTTTTATTTCTTCTTCTAGTCTGAAAGGCACTTTATTATGCAAGTAGTCTGTGAAGCAACGCAGTGTCCAGATACAAGGGTGAGTGAAATTAAATGCTTGGTTTGCCTTTGCACTTTTCTGGAGAAGTTAGCTACAACCTCTAGTATCGACGAACCCTTGAAAAGTGTTGCATGAGATAAACAGTGTTGTTAAATTATTGGTGCACATGCAAATACTCCAGCAAAATTAGTTTTAGACTCCTAAGTATTATTTTTATACTTAAAGAATTAGTAAACTACTAAGAGGATTTAAGCTGCTGCTTGTCAAAGACTGGTTTAGGTGTGGAAACTAAATCAGCAGAAAGGCTGGGTGGTTAATCTGTGGTAGGGTATAGCTGTGCTTGGGTTTCAGAGCACTTGGGTAGTCACATCTTGATCCGTTTTCTGCTCCGACAGGTACGAGTGGCTGCCTTACAGAATTTGGTGAAGATTATGTCCCTTTATTATCAGTATATGGAGACATACATGGGTCCTGCGCTGTTTGCTGTGAGTACTCAGTTCTCATATCTACTTGCCTGATCTTCCTGTACGACTTTATCCTAATCCAAGAGGAAAAGTTTTCTTGCCTTCCTCATTTGTTTTCCTTTCTTTGGCCGTGACTGCACGCTGTGAATCCCTCTCCTAGCAAAATCCTTAAAACCAATGTTAGACTTTGAGACTCCCAGTGCAGAGTGCTCCCCTTGCTCTGCAGCGCCCCGGGGTGCTGACAGCTGATAAACTTCCAAACGAGGAGGTGATTTTCAAGAAGAGTAACTCTAGAGCGTGGCAGCTGATTTCAGACAATCCTGAATCTCGTAGCAGCTGGCTGAAGGTTGGGGCACGTATTTCAGGAGAAACGACCGGCTGAAACATCCTCTTTTCTTTCATGTTTTTAAAGATAACTATTGAAGCAATGAAAAGTGACATAGATGAGGTGGCTCTACAGGGAATAGAGTTCTGGTCAAACGTCTGCGACGAGGAGATGGACCTGGCCATAGAGGCCTCTGAGGTGAGCTCGCCGGCGACCGCCCGTGATCACCGCTTCGGGAAGTTACAGAACTCATATCTTTAAACCACGTGTGGAAATCCTCCTGTTCTCCCAGGGGGGGGATAGTGTAGGAGAGCCTGTCCGAGCCCCGCGTGTGGCAGCTGTGGGCCCGTGGTGGGATGTTACACAGCTCTGGTGCCACGGGATGCGTGTCTGTGACGAGCTGAGACTGGAGGCTGCGTGAAGCCCACGGGGGTGGCTGACTCGGGGTGTTAGGTGCTGCAGACCTCAGCACGGGGCTGTGGCACCCAGATAAGCTCGTGGCTGTCTCAGCTGTGTTTAATTTATTCCAATGTTGAAGGTAAATGCGAAGCTTGTAGCTGAGGGTGCGCAGGGGCTGCTCTTGGAAATTCCCTTTAATAATCAGTTGGGTTATTTTATAGGTTCTGTAGCCTAAGGTGAATTTCTTAGTGTAGCTTGAATATAACCCCTTTTTCTTACTAGATTAGATCAGGATGAACTGCCTTTTTTAAGTGAGAAAAATAGTTTTAATTCCAGCCTGGCTGGAATTAAAACTACTTGAGATAAAGATTCTCTGATAGGTTTGAGAACACGCTGTGACATACAAGTGCTGGTTTTCCGCAAATGGTACGTGACAGTTACCTGATTAATTTTTAGCCTTCAGAAGTCAGCTCAAGCTACTCCTGTGAACTAAAATGCGCATTAAGCGTGTACGCTAGGCACGGTATAATGCCAGAAAATTCTGAGTATCATGAAAATCTTTGAGCTGCTGCTTTAAGACAGCATCTTGAGTTGCTGAGAAACAGGTTGAGAGCATTTCTTGACTTACCTGCTGTCTTGGAGGCCTAGAGGGTTCTGTTAGCTGATGTGTAAGGTTTTTGGGGTCTATTACAGGTGTGAGGGGCTTAGTCCTACCCCCAGTACTCAAAAAAGATTGATCGCATTCTGTAGAATACATTATTTATGAGTTAAGTATAAAATTACGGCATGAAATAAAAGCAATCGTTATCCCTTACAACGGATGGGGCTGGAGATGAATTTGGGGTATTGTTCTGCATGCAGATGTTGTTTGCATAAATTAGCTGTAGAGATCAATAGTAGCTTAAACTTTGAAGGGCTCCAGATGAATCATATCCATCTTTAAAAGTAGCTAAATATATATTTATGTTGAATGCCCAAAGCAAGGACAACAAGGATAAAAGCATTTAGGTTTAGTTTATACACTAAAGACCTTTTGCTGCTTCTGCTTGGGGTCACTTGTTAATTATGCATAACTGCAAACTGAAAATATTTATATTTGTACCATGCGAGGAGGGGCTCTCTGTGTGTATGGAATGGCACATTGAACTTGCTTATTGAATATTTAACTGGGCCTGGTTCAGGGTGTCCTTGAGGTTCTTGTGTGTTATGGTAACTTAAGGTTTGTGTTGGGAAGGAGAGGAAAGCGTGAAGAGAAAAAAAAAAAGAAGTTTTATCTCCTGAAGTTCATCATTCAGACCTCATGCCTACATAGCCACCGAGAATCATTTTGCAACTTTTTTTTTTTTTTCTAGGCAGCAGAGCAAGGAAGGCCTCCAGAGCACACTAGCAAATTTTATGCAAAGGGAGCACTACAATATTTGGTCCCGATTCTAACACAAACGTTAACAAAACAGGTGAGTTGCAGAGTCCCTGCTGGGTGTTGAAAAGGACGTGCTGTGCCTCTCTTCAGAGCGTGGGACAGTGCTGCTGGTTGTCCGCAGTGGTCGTGGCTCCCTCGCATGGGTGACTTCATATACGCTTGGTCCCAAAGGTGCTCTTGGGTCCCCTCGGGTGGTTTTTAGGGGTGCTCTTGTTGGGAGCCCCTGTGGTGGCAGTCCTTGGTCTGTGATGAGACATCATGCACCACTCTGACTGGATGATGCATCCTTTTGTAGGGCTGAGACTGTCGGGCTGCCTGCAGTGTCATTTTTATGCTGAATTCTGTTACCGTGTGCTTGTATTTCTGGTTTCTGAAGAGGTTTTGATAGTTACCTCTATTCCTAAGGAATTGCTTGTGAAATTAAAACCAATCTAGAGTCTCTGCATCGTTAGAGATCCGATTTCTGGAATTCTTGAGCTTTACTTTTTCAACTGTGAAGTCCATGTTTATTTAGTACCTATTAAGCACTTCACAGGGATTTGTTTGGACTGTGTTTCACAGCCTAATCAAAATTAATGGAATCACTTGCTACAGCAGGTCTAATTATAAAATAAAACTGTTAATTAAGCCGTACAGGACGGAGTTCATTTGGCTTACTGCAATGCACTGGGAAAATGCCTGGTGCTTTTAACAAATCCGGGGAATTGTTTCCCTGTTAGGTTTGTGTCGCTGTCCGCTTGGATGCGGAGAGTTTTTAAATTGCAGGAGGTTTCTAAAGTGCTTGTTAAAATGGGAAAGATAAAACAGATAAGAGAATCACAGGTATAGAGCTTCAAAGGGGTTTGGTGAGTGGCTGAGCTAAGAGTCGGGGGGGGAAGAAGCTATTTAACTGGTGCAGCGGGGCCACTCCGCCAGGCGATGGCACGGATCAAAGGAACAAAATCTCAACCTAGATGAGAGAGAAGCAGTTTGGAAGATGTATGAGGCTACCGTAGGTGCGTCAGGAAAGAGCTGGCAGCCTTACACCGGGATGGAAAGGTACAGATGATGCAAGTAACGCAGGTTGCCTCTCTGTCAGAGGTGCAACTCGTACTTCCAGACCTGAATTAATTTCTAAATGTAAGACCTGGTAGTAATGCAGTGCTGCTTGCAGTAGATCCAACAGGATGCCCCTGCCTGTGGTAAGGGATGTTTTCCCCCAGGCTGACCAGGGGTGCTGTTCTCCTCTTAGGATGAAAACGATGATGATGATGACTGGAACCCCTGCAAAGCAGCAGGCGTCTGCCTCATGCTCCTGGCGACCTGCTGTGAAGATGACATTGTTCCTCATGTGCTGCCCTTTATTAAAGAACACATTAAAAATCCAGACTGGCGATACAGAGATGCAGCGGTGATGGCTTTTGGGTGTATTTTGGAAGGACCAGAGCCTAACCAGCTCAAACCACTAGTCATACAGGTAAGATTCGTTGTGTTTTTCTTGGAGCAAAAACTTTCTCATTTATTTGGAGGATGATGCCTGCTTTGCACATTGTTCTTAATCTGAGGAAAAGCAAAAGGATGACTCCTTTTAGTCACGTTTTTGTGAGATTTGTTGGGCCCAGGGCAGGTTACATAGCTCTGATTCACGGGGATGTGCAGAGCTTCAGAATACCTGATTCCAGATGCTTCAGTCTTACCCCCTGGGAAATAACTTTATGAATCTTAAAATGTGAGAACACTGGTCGAACTGGATCTAGACTGTCCTTCCCTCTCCAATCTGTCATGAACTCGTAGAGAATACATCAACGGTGGCACATCCGTATTTCCATATGTTGCATATTGATCACATCTTTCTCCTGATTGCAATTATGTTCTAGGCCATGCCAACTTTAATAGAACTAATGAAGGACCCCAGTGTTGTGGTTCGAGACACCACGGCTTGGACCGTGGGCAGGATCTGTGAGATGCTCCCTGAAGCTGCCATCAATGACATTTACCTCGCTCCGCTGCTGCAGTGTCTGATGGAGGGGCTGAGCGCCGAGCCCAGAGTGGCCTCCAACGTGTGCTGGGTAAGGCAGACCCTTTGCTGGGGGACGTGATGAGTTTTGGTCAGCAAGGGGGATGCAGCTCATGTTCAGACGTGTATATGCACGCGTATGGATTTACACTCGCACTTAAATGGATTTCAGGGGTGACTCGTGGCTCGGTCATCCAGCACGCGCAACTGTTAACTGTTATCTCAAGTCTGTTTTGTGGCTCTGGTAGGAAAGGATAAAGGAAGGAATAGATTTTAAGGACAAAAATGCTGACAAGCACTGAGTTTAGAAGTTGCTTTTGGTTTGAAAAGGCTGTGGGAACTGTCCTTGATAACAACTCTGATAGCTGTTTTGAAAAGGTGTGCTGGGATTTTGCTGCTTTTTTACTGGGCGCAGCTGTATTGCTGCCTTAATCTTCCAGGAGAGACAAAATACCTTGTTTCCCATTACCTAAGGCCACTTCCACGGTGGTTCTAGAGCTAAATTGAGGAGCAGTACATTTTTTTGTTCACTCAGAGCTGCAGTCCCTTGGGTGTTGATTTGCTACCTTCAGTTGTAGCATCGTCTTGACACACGTCTACTACCAAGTAGCATATCGGATCTTTCACTATAAAGAGGATGTGTCCCTTAATGCCTTTTAAGAGAGCTGCTCAATGAGAATTGAGCTAGAGATGAGTATTTGCATGTCAAAACAAGTTGTAGAAATGACAGAATTTGTTCTCTTAGTATTCCAGAGGTTTGAAGACATCTAGTCAGCACGGAAGCTTTTCCCCAGTACGTTGATCCTGGCAAAAGTCCATGTAGCTGTGGCTTTTGTCTGCTGCAGATGATGACTACCATACGTTTTTAGATTGAAATGAAAATCAGGAGGCTTTCAACTCTTCTAATCCACCTGTCTCTCAGAGCAGTTAAAATTACTCTGCAGTGGGAGATTTGAGCAGTCTGCAGCCTTGTCTAAACCAGGATTTTAACTGGTGGTGATGATGATGGATAGTGGGTAGAATCTGTTAACGCCCTGAGAGATTCAAGCAATTTGCTTTTATTCAGTGTGATTTTTCGACAGGTACCAGTTGCTGAGACCAGTAACACGGTGCAGACGTTTGACTGCAGACAGTGTCACTGCCTGGGGTGTTCGTGTTGGGTTTTAAGTCTTTCAGATTTTCAGCACTGTTGTACCAAATTTTGGTGCAGTAAAAATCAGCTGTTCGTGAAGGGAGCTGTTAATCTCGTATATTTGGGGTGGTTTATTTTGTTTTTTTTGTTATTAGAATGGAAACTGTTGGAATATATGTTTCTGGACTTGTGAGGATAAACTCATTTGAGTAATAGTAATGGTGGTTCTGTGTTTCAGGCCTTCTCTAGTCTTGCTGAAGCTGCCTATGAAGCTGCAGATGTAGCTGATGATCAGGAAGAACCAGCAACCTACTGCTTATCCTCTTCGTTTGAGCTAATAGTTCAGAAACTTCTGGAGACCGCAGATAGGTAACACTAAACCAGCTGGTTTAAGCTCTACAAAGATGCTTTTCGTGTTACTTCAGGCTGTTGGTCCTCTTCCTCTTGCAGCTTAGATCTGAATGGTGTTTTTTTCAGAACCAGGCTTTTTTGGTATCACATGGAATATAGAATGCTAATCCCCAGGAAGAAAGCTATTCACACAGAATAATTTCTCAGCATTTTGTCCGTATCTGCTTTTAGTAAGTCTGGGGTTTCCTCCAAGAGTGCCTCTTCCATGTTTTACTTTGAAGTCCCCGAGCAGAGTTGAAGACTGTGCACATCTTTGTACAGTATTCAAGGTTGGCTACAAGGCCACTGAATAATTAGGATTGCAGCAAGACGTAATTAGAAATCTGTGTGTATCGTACAGTTAATTTTACTCTGATTGTTTAATGCTGTGGTTGTTGCTGTGGTGTTACATCCATTTACATTAGCACCAGATACTCCCAGAAGAGCTGAGGACCTAGTTAGGCTAGATACTGTCCTTTTCCCAACTAACTTGAAATATAAATAGACGAGGCAAAATATTTTTCTCAGTTCTGCAGATGCAAAAATAAAGGTAATGCTGAATGCCTTGAAGGTCGCATAAATCTTTGACAGCTCAGAGTTCAATCCTTGGATCAGTTCAATCGTCAGTTGAAGCCTTTTGCTGCAGGACTGCTTCTTCTTAAACAGTGTCCCTGTCTGAACAGTTCAAAGTCGAAACTCTTCCTGTCTTAATTTACATCCAACCAGAAGCGTAGTGTCTAGCTCAAGGCTCTGAAGCCCATCAGTCATCTCAGCATAGATCTCAGCTGTCTTTATTTCCAATTTAACACCCTCACCAACATCTCGAGGTGTCAGGGGTAGTAATGTATGCTGCTCACCTCTCGAGACCATCCCTTCCCAGGCAGGGTAACAGCACACTGGAAGATGTGGGTTTGAGACTTTTTCTGCTCCTGGACTTGCTGCCAGTGACTGCAGATATTGGAAGTCATTATTAATAGCAAATGAAAAAAAAAAAAAAAAACACGTTCTAAAAGTGGCTTCACAAATTTCATTTACTTTCAAGTCTTGGAATACAGGAATGCAAGTGTTTCTGCTTGTCACAACACTAAAATTTAGCTGTTGCTGATTTACTAAAAAAAAAAAAAGTCTGTTTCTAGGCAAGCCTGAGCACTGGAAGCTGCAAATATATTCCTTCTGTTACAGGCCTGATGGACACCAGAATAACTTGAGGAGTTCTGCGTATGAATCTCTGATGGAAATAGTGAAAAACAGTGCCAAGGACTGTTACCCTGCTGTCCAGAAGACAACCCTGGTCATCATGGAACGACTTCAGCAAGTGCTGCAGATGGAGGTAGGTAAACCTGAGGTTTAAACCCCTGTTCCCCCGTCAGGGTTTAAGGAGACTCAGTAGGTGTGATGATGCTGTTGTGCTGTGGCTTCATCTGGTGTAGAAAACTTGAGTTTGGTTGCTGACTGTGTATGTTACGTTATAACGCTTTTATCTATCTACCAAAAAAATATCAAGCTGCTGAGCTGTACCTCTCGTCAGAAATTTGACGAAATAAATATTTAAAATTGAATCTCTGCAGCTCGTAGTGCTGTCAAAATCTGCTGGATTTGCGTGGACTGCGATGCAGGCTTTTCACATGTGGGGGTTTGTTTTTCAGTCTCATATCCAGAGCACTTCCGACAGAATCCAGTTCAATGATCTTCAGTCTCTCCTTTGTGCTACTCTACAGGTAAGTTCCCGTCTCCTGCGTTGCGCTTATGGAAAAAAAGGGGATTTTAGAGACGGTTCTGTGCACCCCAGGATGTGGATTTGGTTCCGTTTATGAGATCTGAATGAGGAAATTGGATCTTGTGTCCCAGCTGACATGTGGGAGGTGATACAAGGTTCAGAAGGCTTCAGTAGAGTACAACTTATAAAATTTAGGGCAGTATGAATAAAGAACACTGTATGTAGCGAGTTAAATATTGTATTTGCTTTCAGATTGGCTGTTATGTTTGCTACAGGCTGAATAGTCACTTTGGTTGGCACAGGGAAAAAAAAAAAAACATAACGGCTTTAATTTGTTCATCTGCCTCTTGTGGTTGGTGTTCTTATTTAAAATGGCACTAATTAAAATGCACTGAGTGTCCTTGAAATTAAACATCTGGTAATGAACAGTCCATGTGACTTGGAGTACTAGTGCATTTCAGTTCCTTGCTTACTCCTACGAAGTCTACTGAAAACAGCCACTTTTTTTTTTTTCCCAAAAAAAAATCTGTTGAGGAGGTTCATCAAACCTTCGGTGGTGTTTGACAGTGCAGCTTCCCTGTTTGTGCTGCAGGAGGGGTGGTCCTGTGCTGTCCTGCCTAGCTTATTAACATTTATAAGGCACCGATTTAAAACTCTTAACAGACATAAATTCCCCGTCAGTGCAACTTGGAAGAAGAAAGGAACGTTTTCTTCAGGAGGTGCAACAGCACTGTGTAACCTGAAATCAAAGCAAAGTATCTACCTCCACTGGGGTTTATTCTGTTGTTGGGTGGTGGTATCCGTTCTCTGCAGTTTGTTTTTCCACTCCGATTAGCCCAAGGAGCCTTTTCCTTGCCCCCAGGTAGCTGCCTGCTTCCCGTTCTCCTAAGCGAGGTTAGGAGGTCTCCTGGGTGTTGTCTCCAGGTTGTTTTGAGAAATCATTAACTTCATCCTTCTCGTTCAAAAGCCCATAGCATCAGCTGTTACCCTAAAAATTGGAGAGTGAAATTAACTCTTCAAAAAATGGGTAGATGGGAATAATCTGTCTTTATGGTGGGCTTTAATGGGGAGGCTTCAGTACCTAGAATCTTCTCCTTTTGGCGCAGTGTGGTCACTGATCTCTTTCAGGACAGCTTTGTTTGCCTGTGGGAAGTGTAGTACAGGTAGAATTCAACTGCTAGTTCCAATTTATAAACATGTGTTTCTTCATTATTGCAAAAATCTGTACCTGAAGTGTTTACAGTAGTTGCAGCAGATACTTAAATACCACTAAGTAAAAATCAGGAGGGAGATTTTTTTTTTTTTTTTTTTCAGGGTTACGTATTCAGATATACTAATTTGTTAGTATGCTTTCTCTCTTCTGGAGATGCTTTCTCTCCTGGAATGCTTTTCTTTCTCTTTTGGAAAATACAATTCTGAACATCCAGCAGAGGAAGAACATTTGTTAGTATTTAAAAGGAACGAGAAAATCAAGACCGATTATTTAACCGGTCAAAGTCAATCTCTTTGGAGTGACTCAGTTTGAAGAATCAGACTGGAAATAATTATTCCCCTCTGCAGGTTAAGGAATCGGTCTTTCTCTTTTCGTAGGTAATGCAAATGGATTTTAAATAAGGCTCCGTCCAAGCTGTGTTCTGTCATTCACATGCTGAAAGCGGCGGTCAGAACGTACAGCAGGAGCAGGTGGAGGTTAAGCTCAGGTGTTTACCTGCGGCGTTTCCTTGGCCCTTCTGCTCCCTGTGACGTGCCGGCTAACACGCAGCACGTGTGTGCTCGCCAGCCCGCTCAGCTTTACGTAAGGCTGCCTCTGCTCTCTCCAGAAATCAGTCCTGCTTTTCAAACACCTCGGTGCTAAACGTGTTCCTGTAAACTTATTTTGCATCGGTTGTATGTTAATTTATTCTCCGTTCATCCTGGGTAGGAGAAGTTGAACTGCCGTTAGCAGTAAGGACATGCTTCTGTCGTAGTTTTAACAACTGGCATTTCTGAAGTTTTAATTCTGTGGTTTAGAAGCAAAGCTTATGCGCAGCCCATACTTGGCAGTAAGAGATTGCAGTCACATTGCTGTGATGGAAAAGGGCTGGTTGGTTTTTTTTTTATATAGGGCCAAATTTGGGCTGCTCACATTTAATGCCAGCTTACAAATGGAAAGCCCAGAGAATAGCCTATGCAGCAGGAAAGGTAAATTCAGCTTGTTCCGTAGCTGGAAAATTGAATGCAGCTAAAATGAATGGGACTTTGCACTTGCACTGACAAAGCATATTTTTGCAGAGACAAAGTTCAAACAGCAGCTTCCTTTTTAGCAGCCCGATGTGGTCACGAGCGTTGGGGATGTAAAGGCACGATCCAGCCTCGCAGAGATGGCAGCAATATTTTTTTTTAATTTTTTTTTTTTCCTCCTTTCCCACCCAGAACGTCCTCCGGAAGGTCCAGCACCAGGATGCTCTGCAGATCTCCGACGTGGTGATGGCATCTCTGCTGAGAATGTTCCAGAGCACGGCGGGCTCGGGGGGCGTGCAGGAGGATGCCTTGATGGCCGTCAGCACCCTGGTAGAAGGTCTGTACTGCACTGCAGAGCCATGTCGTGTTCAGGGGGAAGGCAGAGCTGGGACAGAACTGGTTTGCTTCCTTCTCTTTTTGACTGTATAATGAAAAATATTACTGGTTCCTGGTTTTGCTTGAGGTATGGTTTTGACCACACGTCTCGCCACATCTGTCTGCAAAGCTGAGGCTGGCTGGTTCCGCTAGACTGTGTTTCGTGAATGAATGGTTTGTTTTCTGTTACTAACGTAGCTACAATGCAAATTCTGCTAGAAAAAAGCAAACCCCTAGTGCTACTTTGTACGGTGCCCAGCACAATGGGAACCTGATCTCTTTGTGCTGCTGCAGGACAGATTGAACGTTATCTTAACGATTCATCCTTGCCGCTGCCTGTGACCCGGGGTTGTTTCGTGGTGTTTTGTCAGCGGTGGATTTACAGTCATTGTTCTTGTTTAAAAGAAATCACGGTGGCAAAGATCGGCGTTAGAATGGGTGAAGTAAAATAAAATTTGGGTTGTGACGTTCCAGGCGGTTTGAGCTTCACGGTTCAGGTTTAGGAGGCAGCGTCTGGAGCTCTGGGAACATGCTCTGCTGTCACATGGGTGTGAAAGTTGAGGTGCTGTTGGAATTCTGTCTGTAACATCATTGCCTAACGCTCCTGCCTTACCTCTAATAAAAGCTGTGTGTGGTTTGGAAATGGACCTGGGAGGATTCGTTCATAGAGGGGCTCGTTTTTGCCCCAAGGCTGTTCCCTGGCAGCCTGCGAGGGCCGAGCAGGTGAGGGGACCCATTTCTAGTGGGAGCACGTGGCCTGATGGCTCTGAGAACATGGGGCTCCTCTGAAGTGCAGCAGAATGAGTTCTGGCTTTTTGGAGGAGCCCCTTCCAACACCAGCGTGTTTTGGAGAGCCGGCCTTTGGCAGGAACCCCTCTGACTGCTCTTGGGAAAGTTTAGTGGGATTGTATGCGGAAACTGGGAAGAGAAATGGGCTGAGGGAACTGAGGGGGTTCAGTCTGGAGAAGAGGAGGCTGAGGGGAGACCTCCTGGCCCTCGGCAACTCCCTGCCAGGAGGGGGCAGAGAGGGGGGATGAGTCTCTGGAGCCAAGGCCCCAGCGCCAGGCCCCGAGGGAATGGCCTCAAGCTGCCCAGGGCAGGGTCAGGCTGGCTCTGAGGAAGGATTTCTGTGCAGAAGGGGCTGTTGGGCGTTGGAATGGGCTGCCCAGGGCAGGGGGGAGTCCCCGGGATCCCTGGGGGGGTTGAAGAGTCGGGCTGAGCCAGCGCTGAGGGATCTGGGGGGGTTGGGAAGGGTCAGGGGGAGGGTCATGGTTGGGCTGGAGGAGCTGCAGGGGCTTTTCCAACCGAGGTGTTGCTGTGTGAATGAGAAGGCTGAGTGGGATCATTGCAAACTAACCAGAAAGTGCCAGGGAAAGCCTGTATCCTCTTGGGACAAAGGCCTCTTCACTTTTGGATAGATGGGTCCGCGTGTGTGGTCTCAGTGATGCGAGTGACTTGGAGAAGGCAGGAGTTGGCAGAGAAGAGCAGGAATACTTCACATATTGCTGAAGTAGAAACATACTGGAGAGTGCCCTGCTTGAAGCACACTGCCCTGAAGAGGTGGGGCAGCTGTTTCCAAAAGAAAGAGGTTACAGCTGGTCGGCCAGTAAAGCTGTCTGAAAAGGTGTGGAGTTTTCAGCTGCTGCAAAACAACGTAGCGGTGCCAAACCCTGTCAGGAAGATCTGAACACCCTCTCTGAGCACGGGGAGGGGGGGATCTTGTCTTCGAAGGCCTGCGAGGGATTGAGCACTTTCGAATCTGTTTAGTCCAGACGGACACATTTCACTGACGTTAATTTTTTATGTGATGCCTAGTGGAGAATTAATTTGTTGTGCTTCTGTGGACCACAGAAGTTCTGGGTTTGGGTAGAATATGACTGTGGATTGCTGTTTTGTTGAACTCCAGCAAATACATTGTAGGTTGCGATTTTTTTTTTTTTTTTTTTTTTTTTTTTCCTAACCGGAATATTTTCCATGCACAGTCTTAGGTGGAGAGTTCCTGAAGTACATGGATGCCTTCAAACCATTCCTTGGCATTGGACTGAAGAACTATGCTGAATACCAGGTAGAGGTTAAACCAGGCAGCCCAGTGTTCACAATCCCTAAATTCTCATCTGCTGGCAGATGCTGGGTTCAGCAGGTGTGCATCTGTAAAACACCGCAGCTTCTGTGATGAAACCACAGTTGGAGCCCCATAGACTTTTCTCTAATTACTGGCTGCACGCACAAATTTAGACTCTCTTCTATTTAAATTCAGCAGAATGCCTTTGTTGCCTTGACACCTGTGTTTTCACAGTGGCTGTATATTAGTCGTCCTTGCTGAGGAAAGAGGGCGGTGCTGGCTGTGAATTTCCATTAGAAGGTCAAGTCGTGGTACCCGCCACGGGGCGGATGTTTTAGACCGCCCAGCTCCTGAATTTGGAGTTCAGACAAAGTACTTTGGTCACTTCGTTGCCCTCTGGTTCTCCTGCCCTCCCCCTTGGCAAAGCAAGTTCAGCTCTTTGTGACAGAAATGGTTAACGAAGCAGGGACTCTGCTGCTGTATGAGGGTCGTTATTCTTGGTGGTTTAATGGCAGCAGACTCTCACCACTACTTAGTGCTTTAATAAGCTGAAGCTGTAAGGACAGTGTGGAAGACTGACTCACTGGGTGGGTGTCTTACTTGCTGTTCTATTTGCAGGTTTGTCTGGCTGCAGTGGGCCTGGTTGGTGACTTATGCAGAGCCCTGCAATCCAACATCTTGCCTTTTTGTGATGAGGTTATGCAGCTGCTCTTGGAGAACTTGGGGGTGAGTGTTTACCTTCTCATTAGCCAGTTAGTAACAGTTGGCTTGCACACTGAGAAGAAAGTGGGAGGTGGGAGAAGCAGAAGTGTTAGGCATGCTCTGAAGATCTCATGTTTGACAACTATCTTGCTTACTATTTGAATGGGATCCAAATTTATTGGGGGTAAGGATTTACATTTCAAATAAACATCTTGATTTATTAGCTCCTCCCCTCCCTTGAAAAGAAGCACAACTGAATGTAATGGCGCTGCCATCTCTTCCAGAATGAAAATGTTCATAGGTCTGTGAAGCCTCAGATTCTCTCGGTCTTTGGCGACATCGCCCTTGCCATTGGAGGGGAGTTTAAGAAGTACCTCGACGTTGTCCTGAACACCCTCCAGCAGGCTTCCCAAGCACAGGTTGATAAGGTAAACCAGTGCTCCCCGCACTGAAATCCTAAAGGAGCACGGGCTGCTGAAATCCTAAAGGGTGGGGGCACTGAAATCCCGACGGGCAGGGGCAGTGCTGAAGGTGCTCTCCTGCTGCCTTTCCAGTCTGACTACGACATGGTGGATTACCTGAACGAGCTGAGGGAGGGCTGCCTGGAGGCGTACACTGGCATCATCCAGGGATTGAAAGGAGACCAAGAAAACGTTCATCGTGAGTACTCCCGTCCTGCTGCGGGGCTTCTGTGCCTGATGTGGCGAAGGGAGATGGGAGGAACTCTGCTTGGAGAGGCTGTTTCACGGTTGTTGGCACGACCACGGGTGTATCCTTGTTCGTTCCCTTCCGTGTGGGAGTGAAGGCTCTGCTGCCGTGAGTAGGGACTGGCTGCAGAGCCCTTCGCTGCGCTTCCTCTTCCTCTGGCAGGATTTTTTTTTCCCCTCCCTATCTCAGATTTACTCTTCTGGGCTCAGATTCTGCCTGTTTGGGGCTACACCGGAATCCTTTTTAAAGGACAGACTATTAAACACGAGCTGTGTTTCACCCCGCTATAGTAAATCTGTTTTCTTTCAGCGGATGTGATGCTGGTGCAGCCCAGAGTAGAATTTATTCTGTCTTACATTGACCACATTGCTGGAGACGAGGATCACACTGATGGAGTAGTGGCATGTGCTGCTGGACTGATAGGGTGAGCACCCCGATCCGATTTCAACTGACAGCACACTCGTTAGACAGAAATATTTGTACAACAGCCTTAATATTTGAAACAGCATTTTTATGGCTGTCAGAAGTATTTACCGTCAGTTCTGGGGTTTTGTGGTCTGGTGTTGGATGTTTTAACCCAAGGTGTGAAGTGGTTTATGCAGGTGAGGCCCTTTAACTTGACAGGGGGAAAGGCAGCGGGTGGAAGTGAAAGTTGGAGGCGTGTTACAGAAATTCCAGGTCTGGGAATTTTTCCAGGGATGGTCTGGGCTTAAAACACCCGACCCCCAATTCCCTGTGTATGGAGGAACTCGGGTCAGGGGGTTTTGATCTTTTCTACTGAATTTAGGGAGAGCTGATGGGAACGTCGAGGAGATTGGTCTTTGGACAAGAGATGGAATGTCTCTGGTTAGTCACAATTTTAGAAAACTGTTCAGCTCTCCTCCTGCTGAAATTAGTGACCATATGCAGCATTTTAAAAAGGACATTAGCTGTGAGTCAGATTTCTTTTTGCTAGCGAGAGCTGATCAGAGTGGTACTGGCACATCTGCTTGTGGCACTCAGCCTCAAAGCCTCTCTTTCTTTCTTCAGGGATTTGTGTACAGCTTTTGGGAAAGATGTACTGAAATTAGTAGAAGCTAGACCCATGATACATGAACTGCTAACTGAAGGAAGAAGATCCAAGACGAACAAAACAAAAACCCTCGCTACCTGGGCGACTAAAGAACTGAGAAAACTGAAGAATCAAGCTTGGTAAGGGATCACACCCACCTCCTTTTCATGTTGCATAATTATGAAATTGGCTAAACTCCTGAGCCTCAAAGAGATGCTTGCAAAAAGCCTTGTTCTCTAGAAGGTTGCTTGTCGTTTATTTTTCTGTAAACAAGCCCCATCTGTGGTCTCGTGTATCAGAACAAAGACAGACCCAGAAACACGGTGAATTGTTTGGCTTTCACGAGACACCCAGACGCAGCCCGGAGGGCTTCTGGCCTGGTGAAATTCAGCACCTCTGCTCAGTGGGGGCGATCCTGTGCTGCGCCAGAGGCCGTGTAACCCAAGCTGCTGTCTCCTCCCTCCTCCTCAGAGCTCGGGGAGCATCTGGACGATGCTCTGAGTCGTCTGGTTCAGTTTCAGCAGCCCTGCGAGGAGCAGGGAGTTGGATTTGATCATCTTTATGGGTCCCTTCCAACTTGAGATACTCTGAGCTTGCGATTCCGCGGAAGCACCTTCTAAAAGGTGCTTCATTACCTCTTAGGACAAGAGGGAATGGCCTCAAGCTGCCCAGGGCAGGGTCAGGCTGGCTCTGAGGAAGGATTTCTGTGCAGAAGGGGCTGTTGGGCGTTGGAATGGGCTGCCCAGGGCAGGGGGGAGTCCCCGGGATCCCTGGGGGGGTTGAAGAGTCGGGCTGAGCCAGCGCTGAGGG